TTCATTACATTCAAAGTTGGTTTTCTGGAGGAAGCCCCTTCGGCTCCCCGGAGCTACATCACAAAAGACGAAACAAAAGAGGCTTAACCGGGAGGCGGTCGGCGCTCGCTCCTCGACTCGAAGTCGAAACAACAGACTGCAACTGCTAACCCAACGCGACACAGGCCCGACTAGGCCCAGGAACATTTACGAGGTAGCGTGCAGTCAGGATCCTGTTCGATCGGCAAAAACCCCGTGCCCGAATGTCACCCCAAGACATGTTACCGAAAACGTCAGCAAGCACAGCAAACTTACAAACGTCATGGGCACAGAGATAGACTGCAGACTGGGAAGACTGAATAACCTTACAGATGACCTAAGAGACCCGAACCCTGCAACAGGGAAGAAGGGAAACCGGATCAATCCAAAGCGCATCCCCAGTCACAGAGGTCGTGACGCACAAATTTATTTATTTATTTATTTATTTATTTATTTATTTATATACAAGAAGTTACATTGGGTTTATGAGAGTACATAGCATGATGTGTTTCCATTTTTGTGAAGCCACTAGTACGCACAGGGTTTCTGGTAGGTCCTTAATCTAATAGATAATACGCAGGTAATTTCTAGGAAAATGTATAAAATGTTAACAGGTACATTGTAAGAAAATTTGAGAGATTAGTAGGTATATTAAAGTACATTAAAGCACATTGAAAGCTTTAATTGATAGCTTGAGTGATACCCGTAATATGACAAGATTAGTAGGCACATTAAGCACACTGATAGCACATATAAGATGACAGCAATGTTTAATGGTAAAGTTGTAAGGCTTAGGTATATTTATTGGGGGATTACGTAGCACACAATGTGCGCTCAATATAACAACCATGATAAAGATGATATCAATGAATACAATGGTAAAGTTATATGGCTTAGGTACATAAATTGGGGGATTGGGTAGCACAAAATACAGATATAGTGGATACAGATTCAGATACAGATTATAAACTCACACTGGATAGTGAGAGAGTTTAAAGCACTAGGTAGGAAACTATGAGGATGAAATTAGGTACTTTTTGGTTTTATTTTTGAATAAGGCAAAAATTGGACAGCTTTTCAATTCGTTAGGGAGTGAGTTCCATAGACTAGGTCCCTTTATTTGCATAGTGTGTTTACACAGATTAAGTTTGACTATAGGGATATTAAAGAGATATTTATGTCTGGTGTGGTGATTATGTGTTCTATTACATATGTCCAGGAAGAGTTTCAGACCAGGGTTTGCACTCAAGAAAAGGGTTTTGTAAATGTTATTGACACAAGAGAATGTGTGGAGTGAATTTATGGTTAGCATGTTAAAGGATTGAAACAGGGGAGCTGTGTGTTGTCTGAAAGCAGAGTTTGTTATTGTTCTGATAGCAGATTTTTGCTGTGATAATGGGCTTGAGGTAGTTTGCAGATGTTGAACCCCATGCACAGATACCGGAAGTAAGATAGGGATAGATAAGTGCATAATATAGTGAGAAGAGAGCAAAGTAGGGTACATAATTTCTGATATTAGAGAGTATACCAACTGTTTTAGAGACTTTCTTAGTTATGTGTACTACGTCGAGCGGAACTCCGAGCCCTGGCACGACCCTTCCGGGATACCACGCCCCCCCCCCAGGACCCCAAAGAACCAACAAGTCCACCATCGGACGACAACTAGCCAGGCTGCCCCAGCCAGGCCGCCTGCAGAAACTGCCCAACCACAGACTCTGTAAACAGCAAAGGACAAATAGGCGAAGAAACTAAGAGCCAAGGCCCAAGCAAATACCAAATAGGAAGCGAGCAACACCTGCTAACACGCAGGGAAAAATTGCGATACCGCATCCAGCAGGATCGGCGCAAACAGCTTCAGCAGCGCAGACGATGCACAAGCCCCTGAGACCAAGGCACCAGACCCAGGAACCACCCCAAGCACCTTTACATCCTCTGCAAGCCAATCCAAAGACAGCTTCACAAAGGAAAAGAAACGCAAGACTTTAGCCAGCAAGCCACGAGCGCGCAAGTCCTCAGCCACCAGCGCAGCCCACAGCGAGAGAACCTGCACATGAAGCTAAACAGCGCCAACATCCAGCAGAGGAGCAGGGGGCGAATAAACATGCATTGAGGTGCTCGAAGTCGCCCCCTCAGGTAAACCTAGACCACCATCAACGCCTTGCATCACTCAAGTGTGTGGGTACGACAGAAAGTACTCTAAGCATCCAACAACAACAATAGGCAGTCTGCAAGCCAGGACGACTCTGGAACCTCATAACGAACCCAGTATGGAGACGATGACCCAAACATGAAGGATAATAGATCCATTAAAAGAGGCAAATTCCGTGTCTCGCAGAAGGTAAGCTGCAATGGCCGCCCGAACCTCAGTAGGCGAGACACGGGAAGCCAAAAACCTCCAGAAGAACGGAACCAAAGGACCCGAAGGGATACGGAACCGAATCCGGGGAGGGGCTGAACCTATATCCAATTCATATGCAGAGGGGGGAAAGGAAAACCCTACTCCTTGTAACAGAAAGCCCTGCTCCGAGGGTTGGAAAACCCAGGTGGGGTCCAGTGGGGCCCAAGGCCCTCAAATCAGCCCCTCCCCAACCCTGGGAACCTCCACATCCGGCCCTGGCGATGAGTCATCCTCCAAAGCCACGGCCTCATAAGAAAAAGCTGGGACAGTCAGAAAAGCTGGAAGGAAGGGGAACCCACTGGTCAGACCCCGTCACCATGGCTGGAGGAACCGACTCGAATGTCTCCGTTGCCACCCCGGAAGGGGCAACCCCCAAAACTGCCCGAGTCTCAGAATCCTCTAAAAGCTGCCCCGACCCCAAAGCCCTCAGACTCTTCAGAGCTGAAGCAAGAGGGAGAGGAGACCAGAATGAACCACAGCAGGGGAAGAACGAGGGGGGTGCGGATTGAACCAAGTCCGAAGCGACCAACACCTGCAAGTCCGGGTCCCCTTTAAACAAAACGGGGCAGCCTCGGGACATCCGGGGTAGCAACCAACCTAGCACGTTGCAGCAACCTGTACCTAGCATGCAAGGCCTGAGGTATGCCAACACTCGAACACCTAAAAGACGCAGACGGGCCACCACGACCAGGGTAAGGCGCATGAACACACGAGGAGCTAGGTTTAACCCGAATGGGAGACAACGAAAACGGTAACCGAGAAGCCCCACAACAAAACCGAGCCAGTCCCTGAACCCTGGATGAATCAGAACGTGTAAATACACGTAATTGAGGTCCAGGGACACCATCCAAGTGGCCGGTTCCAACAGAAACCAGACCTGGGACAGAGTCCGAAAGGAGGGAAATGAGACTACTCCTCCCACTACCACTGGGAGGAGGAGTAGTCATCCGCCTGCACCCGAATATTGTCATCGGTTGATTGGCTGAAGTGAGTCACAAACAAGCAACAATGCTTTCAGGACTTTGGGTCGAAAGCATCCAAAGCATTATTTTTGCCTCTGTCATGCTGCCTGTTGGGCAGCATGACAGAGGTAAAAAAATGAGCATCGCCGAGACAAGGGGACAGAGCAACCCTCAAACCCGCACAAGGCGAGAGGGGACCCAGGTTTCGCATTCATCGGACCCCCTTGCGCCCCCGTGGGGTTTCCCAAGGCCAATGGTAAGCCCAGGCAGGGTACTGCAAACTGGCGCCCAAGTCTACCAAACAAACTTCTAAAACTGTACCCCCGGAACGTGTCCACTCACAGGGGACAAGTAGGGGGTACCACCGAACACAGGAGGTCAAAACCCTAAGATAACGGGGAAGGGGGGTAGGGGAACAAAGGCAGACCCTCTCCCCCCCCCCACCAGGCAGAAACAAAAAAAGAAAAGAAAAACCCTGCAAGAGGACAACGCACCCAGAAGGAGCAGAACCGGCCACTGTAATAGGTGAAAACTAACTGCGCAGTACCCTGCGTCCCTATTAGTGCAAAAACTACCACTTACCCCAAGGTAAACAAGGAAGGAGGGAAACCCCCCAACACTCCCAGGGTGGTCAATCACCGAGTAGCAAAAGACCAACAGAGGTAGACCCCAAGGTGACTTGTGGAAGATAACCCCAAACCCCAAGGGGTTACAGGGCACTCAGGGAAAGGAACCCTAAGCACATGTAGCCCGAGTACCTGTGAATATTACTCCCAGCTCGCATGCCATCATAAGAGTAGTACCGGACACAAGGCACAGCACAACACAGAGAGAATCAGGAGCTGGAGCCACATGACCGAGCCTCAAACACATTAGCCGAGAACTGGGGTGTAAATAGCCGCCACGAGGAGTCTGGGGCACCCCCTTTCCCCCCTGGGGAGAGGGGGAACTGCGCAGACAAGCGGGGCGGCATGTGTGACGTCATGCTCGTTTGCGCGTTTTCAATTGGGGAGTTCTGTCCACTCGTTAGTTTTCAGTAGTAGTTTTAACCAGAACAGGGGTTTGCTTTGAGGCGCTTACCTTTCTGGGTGCCTGGCCCGGTCGATGGCAGACATAGAAGGCTCCAAATCACATGTGCACTTCTATAGGTCATTGCTCCTCGTACCTTTCTGAGGGGGGCCAGGTTCTGGTTCGCGGTCCCTGGTAGGCCTAGAACTCCATTTACACAGACTGATGTCAAAGTCTAATAATATACATATCAGTCTGGATAGCTCCGGGTAGCCGAAAGGGCTCCCCTAGAAAATCACATATCATATGATTTTCAAATAATATACTGTACTGTGTGAGTGTTATACAAATTATGCACAATGTTAACTTACTTCTCATAATATTAAATACAGTATAGTATATGACCCCAAAAATGTTCTAGTTAAAAAATGCACATTAATGTATTCCCAAAATGCTGAATACGATTATTCGCTTCATAACAAATACAAATACCTGGTACCTACTATGAAATCCCTGTATTCAGAAATTCTGTAATTTTTATAAATAAATTCTTATTATTGGTGAATGAAATGCATATAAATTGTAATACAGTACATGAAGGCTGTGTAACATACTGAAGGAGGCGCAGAAGACTGGAGGTAGCAATGACTCATGCAGCACGAGCCAGGAGGCTGGGAACATCAATATCAGCATAGGACACCAAACCTACACAAAGATACAATTAAATTATAATTAGGCCTAACGTGTAAATTATTATGCATATCCCCCGCCTGCCCTCTAAAGAATACAGATTTAGGCATTTTAGTCGGTCCAGTTACAGACACATTACATTTTACAGGATGGGTATGGGACGACTGTAACCCTTCCACTACCACCCACAGTACAGGGGGCATGGGGTGACTGTACCCCTCCCCTACCACCCACCAGCGAGTTCTCACACAGTGAGACGCGTCAGATGTCTTTGGGGGTTTACCGGGCCGAAATTGACATAACAGATTGGCATTGGGCGCATAATAAACCAATAAAAATAAAGTGCGCATATGTTAAATGAAGGGTTTTTACTGTGTCGTAAGATAACTAGACTTGAGAATTCTAAGAACACAGCACATGATCTTGATGAGGATACGACGTATAATCCTGGCTGTGTACTGATGCCTATAGTGTTATGTTGAACTGTGTTGAACATGATGACTATCAGTTTATCTTGTGGATCCAGTTTGCTCTACAATATACCTAACTGCCCATGGTTATTAGTTTATTGTCGCTACCACTTACCCTAAATATACATAGCCTATATTAAGCAAATCAATATTAGCTAATTTAAATTCCAGGACATGTTTTTAATTTACATCACCCAGATTGACGTTTTCTGCTCCTGGCGTCAACGCTGATGATGCAACTGTCAATTCCCGCAAAAAATTATGTTTGCCATGTCAAATTGCTCACGACTTGAGACGATATCGAACCTTAATTGATTGGACAGGGGCTTTGAGACATCCACGTTCACGAATATAATTCTTATGGCAGATCCCAGTAAGGCTTACAACTCCTTGTAGTTTACAAAATGAATCTGTGCTAAATTGAGCCTTGTGGGGACGCAAAACACGGACCAGAATCCCATAGATTATAGGGTTTTCTGGAGATGCGATTAATTCGCCTGCTCTAATTTCACTGGGTTTAAAATTCTAATGAAGCTATTTGCCAGTTGATCACAGCGAGAGGGAATATTTATCCTGCCATGATTACCCAACAATGACAGGAAATTAACTCTGGTAAAAATAGGTTTTCCCCAACCGGTCTTGGCTGTCACCGCGCGTCTGCCTGTGGGTTCTGATTTCTACTATACTACACTAACAACACATTAATAAACATTGTAAATTTTCCATCTGTTAAAAAAATTGTTTCGGTAATTTTTTCATCCATTTATACTGGTCGGCAGAGGGAAGGCCTCACTTCTTGTAGGATCCGTGTTCAATTCCCTATGGTTCAAGTGACTGGACAGTGTCCCTTCATCCAGTCCTCATATCTCAGTTCCTAATAATTGTCATACCTTCAATATACATGCAAAAAGCACTTTCATACTAAAGGATTTCATAATCTGGCCGGCTAATTATAAATTTATTGGTAACGAAACTAATGAAACTGCAAGAACCAGATCCTTTGTGATGAAAAAGTACATTAATAATACATATAAATAAAAATACACAATCAAATATTAAACAGAATAGCCTGTATATTAGCTCTATCAATAGGTGTAGACTGATTGCTCTGGATCAGGTGCCATGTATGTGGGAATGTTAGACAATGTGAGAGTGTAATGTGGCGTGCTGGATTAAGGTTCTAGCTGACTTGCGCGCGACTAGGGGAAGGATGTAGGACATACCTGTTGAAGTTGACCAAACTACACACTAGAAGGTGAAGGGACGACGACGTTTCGGTCCGTCCTGGACCATTCACAATCGACTTGAGAATGGTCCAGGACGGACCGAAACGTCGTCGTCCCTTCACCTTCTAGTGTGTAGTCTGGTCAACTTACTTTAGCCACGTTACTGTGACTCATCGCCTGCATACCTGTTGAAGTAACGAGCTGCTGGAGGGAGGCGAGGGCGGAGAGGAGGTCGATGTGGCGCACCGTGACCCCAGCCACCACCAGCCCTCCCTGACGCTCCACCACCACCACCACCTGAAATGCGGGACCTGTTAGGTAGATATTACGCTAATGGCTTATTTATGGGCTTCATTCACCATTGTTTCAACTGCCTCTTTTAAGACATTCAATGGCTATATCTCTCCCCTCCTTTCTGTGGCAAGTGAGTCATTAGACACGAAAAGAGATTGAAAATATTTAATTTACATTCTCTAGTGAGGAGAGGAGTTGGGGTGGTATTATTGAAGTGTACAAGTGGATGAATTGAGAAAACAAATGGAATATTAGAAAATCCAAAGGATTCGAACCTATGCGCTGGATATTCCCAGATGCACGCTCTAAACGACTACGTCACGACATGATCAAAAGAATTGCATCCTGGGGTACTTGGGATATATCACGATAATGTGAGCTCTCTGTACTGAAATAGAGGCGTCAGAGGTAGAATTATTGGAGGACAGAGCCAGAGTGCATGGGAGAAATGTGTGAAATCCTGGTTCGGCTTCAGTGGAAGCCTTAGGAATCCTGAAGGGTGCAGTAGTACCCCAGGTTGCAATTCTTTTGACCATGTCTTGGCGTAGTCGTTTAGAGCATGCGTCTGGGAATACCCAGCACATAGGTTCGAATCCTCATCACGGCTCCTGTGGATTTTTTTCATTGATATATCACGGTAATGTAATTTTTGAGTAGTGAAATTGGATATTAATAAGGCATTAAATACATGAACACGAAACAATGTATATAAACTGGATACATTTAAATTGATGAAAGACCTGGATAAATACTGGTTTGGAAACTTAATTTGTGGAACAGGCTATCGGGTAACAATGTGGGATCACTTGATTGTTTCAAGCGTAGGTTAGACATGTATAAAAAAGATTTGGGTTGATATAAATAGGAATTGCCACGTATGAGCCAATTCTTATGTTCTTATTGTATCCTGGTTGGTAGGGTGTACTCACAGACATTCATCTCTGCCATCTGACCTGACTAACGTGCTCACCTGAGCGCCGGAGAAGGTGCCCCTCCAGCCTGAGAGCTTGGGACAGTCTGGCAGGTCCTTGAGGAAGAGTTCTAGTTGAGAGTCGTCTTCCTCCTCCTCCTCACCTACCTGAAAGGCTCAGAATCTTATGAGAAAATCCACGGGCATATTACAGCAAGCAAATGCAAAGGGTTAATAAGTTTTATTAAGTAGATTTTAATCATAATTTTTCTTAACTTTAATGATTAACAATTTATTTTGGAAATTATATTTATAAATTTTGTTCATATCTTTAGATTTAATGAAAAAATAAGGCCATATGACCATCAATTATAAAGTACCCATGAAAAAGTAAGCTTATTATAATTTATATATATTTATAAGATTTTCTTTTGGTCTTTTGAGGCATATAATAATAGCTTCTCATTTTAGGGAACTCATGATAATAACGTTCAACAACTTAAAATTATACATCTGTAAACCATATGAAACATTTTCGATTATTATGCCTTTCTATGAATAATTAATCTGTCAAAAGATGTAAGGAAGTAAACAATTGTTGTAAGCAAGTACTAAGTTAGAATGACTATACAGCACTGTGGTACAGAATGTTGAAGAGGTTCTGGATATCGTTATGGATATCATTCTGGATACCAATGCGAAAGCAGACACACACTAGACTGGAGTGGTCGGAGGTGTCAACTCAGGATTTAGAGAGGGGGACATGATTTAAACAAAAAAATATTTTAAATGGTGTGAAGATTTTTTTGATTATGTTGGAACGAGGCAGATACCTTAGGCATGTCGCAGATCACCATAGACTCTGAACAAGATACAACCAGCTCTTGCAGGCTGAGCACATCTTGCTGCTTAAGGCTGTCATCTTGCTCGGCCTGTGGCTCGCTGCTGGGGTCGCACGTCAAGCCTATGTCTGTAAGCTTCTGGCGCAGATCTCCTCGCGCCAAGAACTTTCTAAAAACACTAAATTTATACTCCAGGGGTCTTCTTTGGCTGTCTTCGTCATTTTGTCTGCTGTTATCGATTTCAACCTCGGCGTCTACAAGGACCCAAGAAGCCTCATCGACTGGGCTGTCAGACCTAGGCCTCTCGCCTTTTTCTTCGTCCACATCAATCGACTCCTCTCTAGTACCTCCTCTCTCTGTTTGACCTTCCTCAATTTTGTCCTTGTCTGTCTCCTCCGTACTCTCTAGCTCTGAGAGAGACTGTTGTGATGGGGTTGGTGACGAAGTGTTGGACGACCTCTTTTCCTCCACGGCAGCTTCAGCTATCTCCTGAGCCAGCAGCTCAAGGTCCTGTGTGGCCTCCAGGTGTGGCTCCGGACACGCGGAGATCTCCAAGTTACAGGAGTCCTGTACATCACTGCGATCTGCCATGTCTGGAAAATTAGAGATATATACAGGTATTTTATTAGGATATATTTAAAATAATGTAAAATATAGTTTAACAGACATCAGCTACACACACTTTGTTTAAAGGATAAAACTTTTCTTACATTACATTTGTCATTTATTTGTCCTGAAATAAAATCAAAGCAGTGTATAAGAATCAAGGAAACTGCAAAGGACTATTTGCCCATACGTGGCAGCTCCTATTTTTATCCATCCAAACTCATTCATATACAGGTATATATATATATATATATATATATATATATATATATATATATATATATATATATATATATATATATATATATATATATATATATATATATATATTGTACCTAGTAGCCAGAACGTCGTACTCGGCCAGCTATGCAAGGCCCGATTTACCTAATAAGCCAAGTTTTCCTGAATTAATATATTTTACCTCAATTTTTTTCTTATGAAATGATAAAGCTACCCATTTCATTATGTATGAGGTCAATTTTTTTTTATTGGAGTTAAAATTAACGTAGATATATGACCGAACCTAACCAACCCTACCTAACCTAACCTAACCTATCTTTATATGTTAGGTTAGGTTAGGTAGCCGAAAATGTTAGGTTAGGTAGTCGAAAAACAATTAATTCATGAAAACTTGGCTTATTAGGCAAATCGGGCTTTGCATAGTAGGCTGAGAAGTGCGTTCTGGCTACTAGGTACGACATATTATATATATATATATATATATATATATATATATATATATATATATATATATATATATATATATATATATATATATATATATATATATATGTGTGTGTGTGTGTGTGTGTAAGAAGGGTTCAGAGTTTTCACGAAGATAATCCCCAACTAACTCTTACGTAGAGAAAATACAGATGAAACACATCATAGACGATACTTAGAGATACCGGCAACTGAACTAAGCTAAACTGTTTAAACACGGTGTGGGCAGCACAGCAAGATGCAAATGAAAGCAAAATACCTTAATGGACTTGAGATATATGACAAGAATTTCTTCTGTTAAAGTATGTTTGGTCGAGAGTTAATGCATTTAAAATCTCTATTCACAAATGACCTTCAACAATACCTGTGCCATAAATGGAAATACCACTAGCAGCCAATTGACTCAAAATATTACTATAAACATGATAGCATTACTACACCTAAACGTAATATGTAAATCTTAAAACTAAAATACAATTTCTTTCTTTATTTTGCACCCCATACCCATCCCGTGGGCGGTGGAGGAAAGGGTTCCGTGGCCCTTATCTCCACCCGCGGCCCTACTCTGGATGGGGCCCTGCCCTCCACCCGTGGCTCTGCCCTCCACCCGTGGCTCTGCCCTCCACCCGGGGTTCTGCCCTCCACCCGTGGCTCTGCCCTCCACCCGTGGCTCTGCCCTCCACCCGTGGCTCTGCCCTCCACCCGGGGTTCTGCCCTCCACCCATGGCTCTGCCCTCCACCCGGGGTTCTGCCCTCCACCCGTGGCTCTGCCCTCCACCCGTGGCTCTGCCCTCCACCCGTGGCTCTGCCCTCCACCCGTGGCTCTACCCTCCACCCGTGGCCCTGCCCTCCACCCGTGGCTCTACCCTCCACCCGTGGCGGGTTCTGCCCTCCACCCGTGGCTCTGCCCTCCACCCGTGGCTCTACCCTCCACCCGTGGCTCTGCCCTCCACCCGGGGTTCTGCCCTCCACCCGTGGCTCTGCCCTCCACCCGTGGCTCTACCCTCCACCCGTGGCCCTGCCCTCCACCCGTGGCTCTACCCTCCACCCGTGGCTCTGCCCTCCACCCGGGGTTCTGCCCTCCACCCGTGGCCCTGCCCTACCCGTGGCCCTGCCCTCCACCCGTGGCCCTGCCCTCCACCCGTGGCTCTGCCCTCCACCCGTGGCTCTGCCCTCCACCCGTGGCTCTACCCTCCACCCGTGGCTCTGCCCTCCACCCGGGGTTCTGCCCTCCACCCGTGGCCCTGCCCTCCACCCGTGGCCCTGCCCTCCACCCGTGGCCCTGCCCTCCACCCGTGGCTCTGCCCTCCACCCGTGGCCCTGCCTCACCTCACGACGGGTGTGTCACAGTCCTCCCCCGTCTCCTGGGAGTTTCTATGAATGGTTTGTATTTTGAGTGTTATACACATATAATGAGGCGCTCTCGAGTCTTCAGGGTGAGCAGTGGTCCCCTCCCGACCGTTGCTAGCGGGCTTCTGCTGGTGAGCGTCCCACGGGCGTCCCACGGGCGTCCCACGGGTGTCCCATAAGCGTCCTGCGCCTGATCACCACTGTCCACTGCTCTGCTATACCCGGCGTCTGTTGTCACGGCCTCACACTGGCTGTTTGCTTAATGAAATCACATGTATAAGGGCCTGAACTTGTGCAAAAGCGAGGAAGCTCTTGAGTGTGTGTGGGGAGCGCGTCTTGCTGTACGCAGGTGCCCCGCCCCTGCCACCAGCCAGCCATCGCCCTTATGGCAGGGGGCAGCAAGGGCCACCCAACCGCTCAGACCCACGCGAAGATAAAGGAAATATGATGCTAAATTACGGTGCAGGCTGCGAGAGGGGCGACTTTGGCGGCATGGCGCAGGCGAAGGCCAGACTGACCGACGGCCGGCAAGTGGGGGACAATCCTGCACTAGTTTACTTCACGAGTTTGCTTGGCAAGTTTACCTGCAAGTCTTGAGTACAATCCAGCACAATACCCTCGTCCCTTCTCACTAATTGGCTGTCCTGAAGCCCTCGGGCGGCCCGCTGCACTTGTTTGCTCAACACATTTTTGTAGCAACAGCTAATTCAAAAAACCCTACGCATATGCAACAAGTTAAAAATATAGTATTCTTCAAAAGAATGTTGAGATCCCCTGTAAAAATGATGACAACCCATTCTGCCCATCGCTGGAAAAAGGGGTCAAAGGAAAAGGATGTCCCAAGACAGATGACCCGTATTGTTCTTACTGTAAGTTCATCAGGTCTCGGAGGGTCCAGGGTACGACGAGTGAAGGAGGGCCAAGAGATCCTAAACGCGGCTCGCTTCTCGGAAGCTGACACGACGACGGGAGGACGACGCTGACACGACGACGGGAGGAGGACGCTGACACAACGACGGGAGGAGGACGCTGACACGACGACGGGAGGACGACGCTGACACAACGACGGGAGGACGACGCTGACACAACGACGGGAGGACGACGCTGACACGACGACGGGAGGAGGACGTTGACACAACGACGGGAGGAGGACGTTGACACAACGACGGGAGGAGGACGTTGACACAACGACGACGTTGACACAACGACGGGAGGACGACGTTGACACGATGACGGGAGGAGGACGCTGACACGACGACGGGAGGAGGACGTTGACACAACGACGGGAGGAGGACGTTGACACAACGACGGGAGGAGGACGTTGACACAACGACGGGAGGAGGACGTTGACACAACGACGGGAGGAGGACGTTGACACAACGACGGGAGGAGGACGTTGACACAACGACGGGAGGAGGACGTTGACACAACGATGGGAGGACGACGCTGACACAAGTAATTGAGGCGGACACTTACACGAGGAAGCGAGACGGACGCTGACACAGAGTCGAGCAGACACTAACACAAGGGGTTGAGGCAGACGCAGACACAAGGGGTTGAGGCAGACGCAGACACAAGGGGTTGAGGCAGACGCAGACACAAGGGGTTGAGGCAGACGCAGACACAAGGGGTTGAGGCAGACGCAGACACAAGGGGTTGAGGCAGACGCAGACACAAGGGGTTGAGGCAGACGCAGACACAAGGGGTTGAGGCAGACGCAGACACAAGGGGTTGAGGCAGACGCAGACACAAGGGGTTGAGGCAGACGCAGACACAAGGGGTTGAGGCAGACGCAGACACAAGGGGTTGAGGCAGACGCAGACACAAGGGGTTGAGGCAGACGCAGACACAAGGGGTTGAGGCAGACGCAGACACAAGGGGTTGAGGCAGACGCAGACACAAGGGGTTGAGGCAGACGCAGACACAAGGGGTTGAGGCACTAGACGCAGACACAAGGGGTCGATGCACTAGACGCAGACACAAGGGGTCGAGGCACTAGACGCAGACACAAGGGGTTGAGGCAGACGCAGACACAAGGGGTTGAGGCACTAGACGCAGACACAAGGGGTCGAGGCACTAGACGCAGACACAAGGGGTTGAGGCAGACGCAGACACAAGGGGTCGAGGAGGACACTGACACAGGGGGTCGAAACAGAGGTATTGTAAGCAAGTGTTATTGTAATATGAATGCCAAACATGCCTGCCAAGAAAGCATCGTTTTTGCACGAGCTTTGGAAACCTTTTGTACCACGAGGATCTCAAATATCGATTTATTGATTTATAAAGATAAACAACAGTTTGATAAAACTATCTACAAATTGGGATACATAGTTTTAATTATTCGTTTATTTTAAACAGGTTATTTACATTCTTTGTATTTCACATGCCCCATGAAGCCTAGGTTATATAAGACTTTTAAACGTATTAATTCGCCGTTCGGTGAAAAATAAAACAAATTAATAAGACTTGATTAGGGCATGAATATTGGTGTGTAGGGGTTTCGAGTAGGGACCGAGCCCTGCGGGTAAACAAATGTCCCAGTAACGTTTATTTAGCCAAGCATAATTATTTACAACGTAAATTCATTGTTACACTCATCATCATTTACCAAAATTTGTCCTGGGGGGGGGGGCGGTTGATCTCATTAGTGTAATTATCTGACGTTGAAATAAGAAGCTCGCTAACGTTGTGAAGGGAGGAGACGCTTTTCGGGTAGGTGTGTTGGTAAGTGTTGAGCGGGTGCAGGTGGGTGAGTGTTGAGCGGGTGCAGGTGGGTGAGTGTTGAGCGGGTGCAGGTGGGTGAGTGTTGAGCGGGTGCAGGTGGGTGAGTGTTGAGCGGGTGCAGGTGGGTGAGTGTTGAGCGGGTGCAGGTGGGTGAGTGTTGAGCAGGTGCAGGTGGGTGAGTGTTGAGCGGGTGCAGGTGGGTGAGTGTTGAGCGGGTGCAGGTGGGTGAGTGTTGAGCGGGTGCAGGTGGGTGAGTGTTGAGCGGGTGCAGGTGGGTGAGTGTTGAGCGGGTGCAGGTGGGTGAGTGTTGAGCAGGTGCAGGTGGGTGAGTGTTGAGCGGGTGCAGGTGGGTGAGTGTTGAGCGGGTGCAGGTGGGTGAGTGTTGAGCGGGTGCAGGGGGGTGAGTGTTGAGCGGGTGCAGGTGGGTGAGTGTTGAGCAGGTGCAGGTGGGTGAGTGTTGAGCGGGGGCAGGTGGGTGAGTGTTGAGCGGGTGCAGGTGGGTGAGTGTTGAGCGGGTGCAGGTGGGTGAGTGTTGAGCGGGTGCAGGTGGGTGAGTGTTGAGCGGGTGCAGGTGGGTGAGTGTTGAGCGGGTGCAGGTGGGTGAGTGTTGAGCGGGTGCAGGTGGGTGAGTGTTGAGCGGGTGCAGGTGGGTGAGTGTTGAGCGGGTGCAGGTGGGTGAGTGTTGAGCGGGTGCAGGTGGGTGAGTGTTGAGCGGGTGCAGGTGGGTGAGTGTTGAGCGGGTGCAGGTGGGTGAGTGTTGAGCGGGTGCAGGTGGGTGAGTGTTGAGCGGGTGCAGGTGGGTGAGTGTTGAGCGGGTGCAGGTGGGTGAGTGTTGAGCGGGTGCAGGTGGGTGAGTGTTGAGCGGGTGCAGGTGGGTGAGTGTTGAGCGGGTGCAGGTGGGTGAGTGTTGAGCGGGTGCAGGTGGGTGAGTGTTGAGCGGGTGCAGGTGGGTGAGTGTTGAGCGGGTGCAGGTGGGTGAGTGTTGAGCGGGTGCAGGTGGGTGAGTGTTGAGCGGGTGCAGGTGGGTGAGTGTTGAGCGGGTGCAGGTGGGTGAGTGTTGAGCGGGTGCAGGTGGGTGAGTGTTGAGCGGGTGCAGGTGGGTGAGTGTTGAGCGGGTGCAGGTGGGTGAGTGTTGAGCGGGTGCAGGTGGGTGAGTGTTGAGCGGGTGCAGGTGGGTGAGTGTTGAGCGGGTGCAGGTGGGTGAGTGTTGAGCGGGTGCAGGTGGGTGAGTGTTGAGCGGGTGCAGGTGGGTGAGTGTTGAGCGGGTGCAGGTGGGTGAGTGTTGAGCGGGTGCAGGTGGGTGAGTGTTGAGCGGGTGCAGGTGGGTGAGTGTTGAGCGGGTGCAGGTGGGTGAGTGTTGAGCGGGTGCAGGTGGGTGAGTGTTGAGCGGGTGCAGGTGGCGTTACCGTCGCGGCGTCACGACACAGCGCACCAGGCCGGTGAGTCACTCCACTGTGATGACGCTGGCAAGGTTGTCTCCTGGGGCCTGGTCCACGTGGATGTCTCACCATACATAATGTTCTCTCCCTCAAGGATAGGCTCGCTTTACTGCGCTTGCAGTGGTTGAGCTTCGGCTCTTTGGTCCCGCCTCTAAACCTACCCCTTCAGACTCGGCCGTATATTGCATCTGAAACCGTCTGTGGAGTCTGCCTCAACCACATCATTTCTGCACTCAGCTCCCCAAGGTATAACTGTGACATGCTTGTGTCTGAAGCAAAGACACATACTATAATGAAATATTTAATGATGGCCTCAGAGTTTGTCTCCTGTGGATTCCTTCCCATATTCGTCTCCGAATGCATAATAAAACTGATGAGTTAGCCAACGCTTTTGCTCATAAAGAAGGAATTCATTACCATCTTGGACTGTCTTTGAGCAGTCTGAGGGCAGCAATATTCCGAGAACATCAACAAAATCTTGTAGACTTAAGGCAAAGTGAAATTCACACCAGTTACTCCATCTTCATCATTCTGTTATGCAGGAAGTACCGCACGTCTATGGGTCATCCAATAAGGTTAGCAGACTTCTAGATGTTACCACTGCTAGGCTTAGGCTCGGCTACAAGTACCTCTGGGAGTTTGTAACATCTGCTGATGTAGACTTGACTAAATGTAAACTCTGTCAGCAGAACTATTCGCATACTTTGCGTCATTATATAATGGAATGTGAAAAAATCGCGGAATTCAGAGACAGCACTATCAATGGACTCCAAGAAATGTGTAAGTACTTCATTCTTAATTATGTATCTCTATAATTTTGAATACAGTTTTAGTATAGTGCAAGAAATGTGAAAGTACTTCATTCATAATGATGTACTGCCAGGAATCTTAGCGAAGTATCCAAAATGTGCTTACTGTAGGTGCAGCCTGCACATGACTGTAGGTGCAGCCTGCACATGACTGTAGGTGCAGCCTGCACATGACTGTAAAGCTGTCGCCCAGTTGGGTGAGTGTGGAGCAAGACTAGTAACTGTGTGACTCACTATAGATATATATATATATATATATATATATATATATATATATATATATATATATATATATATATATATATAT